ATAGGGCATTTCAGTCATTGTATCACTCATTCCCTTTCAATTCCCTGTAATCTTATTTTGCATACCAAACATTGTAATTTGAATTCATACCTTATTCTTTTCCACCGAATTACAATTCCTTTCCATCCTAATTCATTCCTTCCAACCAAACGGTCGGTAAATTAGGATGAGTTTAAAAAAACAAGAAAATAACTTTTAGAAAATAAAATATTTTTATTTTTAATGTTTGATTGCATTTCAGAAATTGTCTTGATATATTTCGTTCATTTTCAAAAAAAAAATGAAAAGAATTAGAAAATAAACATTTTAATTATTATTAATCATCATATCTAAGGCATTTTTTTTTTACTTTAATTTTCACCATTTACCAAACAATAGAAATTCAAAAGAGGTGGAAATCATTTATCAGGGTTTCAAACACAATTAATAAAAATACTATTCCAAAATTTTACATGTAATTTTTACTCCAACACTCAAATTTTTAATGTGAACATTTTTCTTGAAACCCATTGAATGAAAATAACTTTAGGGTTGGGGTTCAACCTTTTGAAAGAATTGAATGAAAATAACTTATCATTGATTGTCACATTAAAAAGAAAAAATTGAAGCTCATATAGTAAAAATGTATATTAATAGTATATCCTCTCTCTCGATACTCGATATGACATATTTTGACCATAATAATAATAATAATTAGGAATAAGGGCCAAATATGGCAAATTATGCTGTGCATCCTTATGCACAATGTATGGTGCATACAGATGCAAAAACGACGTCGTTTTATTAAAAACGCGCGTCCACTTAAAAAAATCAGCTTCGATTCCCAGCAACAGCATTATATTGTGCATAATTTGAACTATATATCCAGAACCAATGAACTAAAAATCCAGAATCTATGAACTAAAAATACAGAATGAACGAACTAAAAATAAAGAATGAATGAACTAAATATCCATAATGAATGAACTAAATATCCAGCATGAATGAAAAAAAAAAAATCAGTTTCGATTTATGTCTAAATATCCAGAATCAATGAACTAAAAATCCAGAATCAATGAACGAACTAAAAATCCATAATCAATGAACTAAAAATCCAAAATCTATGAACTAAAAATCCAGAATCAATGAACAACATAATGTTGTTGAGGGAATCGAAATTGATTTTTTTATTTTTAAAATGGGACGCACGTTTTTAATAAAACGACGTCGCTTTTGCATCCGTATGAACCATACAGGGTGCATACGGATGCACAGCATAAAAATCCGCGAAATAGGCCATCAAACTACATATTATAATGTAATTAGGTCACTGAACCAAAAAAACTTACAATTGAGTCCCTAAACTAACCAATTTTATGCAATTCTTCCCATTTGCAGGTTTCCAACAGGTCATTCCAAATTAAATTATTTTTTAAAAAATAATTATTTAAAAAAAAAAAAAAAAAAAACAAGACCTCCGGCCGGAGACGAAGAAACCAGCCATGGAGATGAAGAAACATTCTTCGTCTCCGGCTAATTTCTTCGTTTCCATGGCCGGAGGCGAAGAGTTTCTTCGTCTCCATATTATTTTATAGCATTGAGGCCCAAATATCGGTGACCTATAATTACAGGTCACTATGGTTCCGGTGAACCTCCAGTAAGATTTCGACCATATTCTGGCAAAAAGCACCGACAAAACGGTTGGCAATGTCGTTTGGTTGCCTTCTCCCGTGAAGGAGAAGGCAACCCATCTGGTCGCCTTCTCCTTCGTGGGAGAAGGCAACCAAACGACAACGACTATAGTTTCACCGGTGTTTTCAGTCGAAATATAATCGGAATCTCGCCAGAACCTTAGTGATTTGTAATTATACGTCATCAATTAGTTTTTTGGTCTTAATGTGCTAAAATAACACGTTTAATGACTTAATTGCAACCTTTAAAAGTTTAAGTGCTTAATTAACTTATTGAGTAATGTTAAGGGACCTATTTGACCATTTTTCCTATTTTATAAGAAAAATAACTTTGGTGTTGGAATGTGACGGGTCTGGGCCTATTAGGTCATTTGATTAAGCCCAAAAGGTTCAAATTTGGCTAATAATCAATTAGGTAACGATAAATTATACTATGGATCTAGTATAAATCATTGATAAATATTTATTTTTAGTATAATGAATATTTATTATTAATGTACTAAAAGTTTATTTTTAAGTAATATACTAAATAATAAACTTTCAATATATAAAAATGAACATTCAATATACTACAAATGAAAATGGAAATACTTGGAAGGAGGTTAGGCTAAGCAATGGGGGTGAGGTTGGGCTAAGCAAGGGGGGTGATGATAGGGGGGGGGGGGGGGGGGGGGGGGGAAGGAGTAAGCGACTCGGGGTATGGCCGATTGGGGTCAACTGAGACAATGAGTGTTCTCATATAAAAAGTGAAGACTGATCTCATCCACCTATCATGTTCATCTGTAGTTGAAAATTTTAATTTTTTAAAAATATGGGGTTAATTTTATAATTATTACAAAATTTTAAATTCTTAATATTTTAAAAAATAACCTCACATTTTTTCTTATTATTTTTCACCAACTCTCAACCATTTGATCTACCTAAATGGATGGACCATATTAGTTCTCTCTTTTAACGTGAGAGCATGTTCTCACATGAACCCTCCCCATATATATATATATATATATATATATATATATATATATATATATATATATATATATATATATATATATATATATATATATATATATATATATAGAATCCGGATCAGGTGAGGACCTAATCTTAGGTGAGGACGTGAGGACTAATCTTGTGCGTTTGTTTTTTTTATTTGGATGGTCCAGATTTGAGTTCTTGAGATGACATGGATTGATCTTTTTTGTTAAAGTGGGATAATAGTGTCTTTTTCTATTTTTTTTTAAGTGTGAACGCATGTATAATCCTTGGCCAAATTGGTTTCCCATTTTCTTGGATCATCACCGTTGCAATTTGGAGCCGCGATTTCTTCATCATTGATTGAGTGTTCGCCCATGCAAACTAATCAGTATTTTTTATTTTTTTTCGCTTGTTCTTTTGAGTATAATATTGTCTATATTTGGATTGTCGTGTATATGTATAAATGCCTGGGTAGTACGATTGTGCATTCGTGTGTGCTGATTGTGCAACCTAGTGTTGTAAGTTGTGCACTATAGGCTAGGGAGTTGTGCATTATAGCACATAGTTCAATGCATCATAGAACATTGGATGTTCACTGTATGATTTTTTGGCGGGGTTTGAATGCATAACAATGAAGTTATTGATGCACAACACTCAGTATAGGAATGCACAACATTTTGTATAGGAATGCACATCTTTTAATAAGACTGATTTACCCTAAATTTATATATTTTAATATTTTAAAGGAATTTGTTTTCTTAATCCGTGTGATTTGTTTCTTTTAATCTCAATCATACATCATTATGATTTAATGCTCTAGATTAGTCCTCACGTCCTCACCTAAGATCAGGTCTTCACCTGATCTGGACCCTATATATATATATATATATATATATATATATATATATATATATATATATATATATATATAATAATAATAATAATAATGAGAACTAGCACGCAGGAGATAACTTGGAACCAATCATAATCGTTCATCGGAAAAGATTTAACGGATCATAAGCAATTAAGAAAACGCAATGACATTTTTATAAATAATTCAAACTTTGAAATGAAATGTGAAACTAGATCTCGCACCATGGTTCTTCCTCGTCGTAGAAAGTCTTCGCGAAACTATATGTCATGTGGTGCTCTAATGCGGTTGAGATTTCTACCGGCCATGTTCTCAGAGCTTGGTCAGAAACTCCTCTCTCTAATGGTGTTTCTCACTCAAGGGTATCCTCAACAACTTATAGATTCCCATAAAAACTAAGTATTTGATGATTCTTAAAAAAAAAAAAAAAAACAACAACAACAATGACATTCAAAATACTTAGTATAATTTTGTCATGTATTACTACTGGAGTACAATGTGATTATTTCAAAGAAGATAATGAGACTCACATTATTTAGCATTATTTTTTCATGTATTTCTACTAGAGTACAATATTGATCATGTAATTCTATTGGAGTACAAGGTGACTAGCCTAGAAGGCTGATGAAGTCTTGTATTAATCTTATCTTTCTATAATTCTTTTAATATAGTTTTACTTGTGAAGCAATACTATATTATACTGGTCATATTCAACACAAATTTAACATCCTAAAATCTTAATTTTAGTCAATGGAAGATTATGATAATTTATTGATCATAGCAATCTTTCAAGGATAGGATTGACTTAGGGTCTGGATATTTTTTGATCAAATATTCATTATTCCAAAGGCTGAACCCCAACCCTAAGGGCCCCCACACCCCGGCCCGACAGAGTATTCATAATCGAAGGCTTGGACCAATGGGTGATAGATAATAGTGCACTTACTTTTCCTTCTGGATAAAATTATATTTAAAAATTAGGTAGTACTATCAAAGCGGGCTTTCCCGCGAGCTAGGATTCATGCAACCCTAAGTCCCTAACCCGCCCCATGCCGGTTTATATTCTAGAAGCTCACAATTCTAGTATTAAAATACACAATTTATACGTCGTTTTGGATCATAACCCACCTTGCAAGGTGAACCTTGGTCCATGATATAACAACTCTAATGTCCACAATCAATAATATTTATAACAATTTTTTAAAAAATACTATAAGAAATCTTCAAATACTTTCTTTATTAAAAGAAAATGAAATAGATCTTATGTTAGTGCGCACACTATTCTATGTTCATAACGTTTCCCTTGGCATTATATTACGAATTGCAACCGTGTGCACCTTATTGCACAACATAATGTTCTCCTCTCATTGTGCTGATGCACACTATTCTATGTTCATAACGTTTCCCGTGCATTATATTATGATTTGCAACCGTGTGCATGTTATTCATAACATTTCCCTTGCATTATAATGTTCCCCTCTTGTCGGCAGCAGGATTTGAACCTGCGCAGGCAAAGCCCAACAGATTTCAAATCTATCTCCTTAACCACTCGAACATACCAACTTTACATTTATTGGCTACACAGGTTAATATTTAATTTAATAACAAAGATGGATTTTGAAAAGCTTATATAATTCTATGTTTACTTTTTATTGATCAGCATTACTTTCAATAATAATAATAATAATAATAATAATAATAATTATTATTATTATTATTATTATTATTATTTCTTTATTTATTATTTATTTATTTTACTTTTATTATTACCTCAGTATTCTTTTCACTCACGACTGGATGAACCATTAATTAATATAAATTGTATAAAACTTAGGAAATATTACATTTTTGGTCGTTGAATTCTTCCAAAGCCACTTTTCACCATTCAATTATTATCTTGGTGACTCTTTTCAATTCATCTATGATTGGATGGAAATGTTAAACTTAACATAAATGTTTAAAACCTATAATAAAAAGATAAATTTGTAATTTTACAATGCCCTTCGATCTTATTCCCTCTAATTAGGGATGAGAATAGGTCAGGTCCCTTCGTAGGGGGCCTAAGACCCGACCTATTTAAGGCCTACATAGGCATGCCTTGTTTTAAAAAGGTCAGGCTTGGACTCATTTTGAAGCCTATTAAACTAAACAGGCCAGACCTATTTATACCAAGCTCGGTCTTTAGGCCTAGCCTATTTACACACATATATATAATTTATTTCTAATATTAAGTTAGTATATATTTTATTTTATATCTAATATGTTTTTATATTTACAATATAATTCCAAGTATATATATTATCAAACTCTAACCCTCCACCTCCCAAATCGCATTCTAAATTCAAATTCAACTATAAACATTGTTTTTAATCCTATTATAAGTGTTCTTATTGTTTAATTGTTCTCACTGTTAAATATTTAATGAAGTGTCACGACTTAATTATGTAAGTTGATTGTTAACTATTTATAAGATTATATAGGATGACAATCAATAATACAATTAAATTCATTCCTAAATAAGTTGACAAGCATGTTGAAGTTGTGACTTGTTTTATTTTATTTTATATATGTTTTAATCCTATTATGCTTGCATTGTGGCGATATACTTATGTAGTTATATATTAATTTTGTATTAGCTAGGTATATTTCTTAAATTATTTAGAAATACTTATTAAAATTTTTAAAAAGACTTAATATATATGTTTTAAATAGGCTCAAAGCAGAACTTACTTTGAAGCCTTTTTAATGGCCTACATATTAAACAAGCTTTTAAAAAGGCTTCAGGCTAGACCAGGCTAATTGTAGGCTCAGACTTGAGCCTAACAAAAAGCCTACATACAGGCTCAGGCCCAGGCCTTAGATTTTCGCAACAGGCTCAGACCTAATTTTCTAAAGCTCAGCTCGACTCGGCCTATTTCCATCCCTACTTCTAATCTCTCTTTTGGAGCATTTCCTTTCATGACCCTCAATTTTTTTAGGCCCATTTTTTTTTTAAAAAAACATTTTATATATAATTCATTATTTTTATATTTGTTATTAATTTTTTTTTTTAGAATTCATAGATTGATCTTAATTGTAATTGAAAATAAAATTTTAAAAGGAATTGACATCTAAATTTTGGTAAATAATTTTTGTATTTAAATATGCGTAAAAAAGTCACTTTTAAATTAAATTTTGAAATCTTTTTTTTTCTTTGTTTGTTTGTTGAATTTTTTTGGATTATATATATTTGGACAAATTTTTTTATTACATTTTTATTTTTGTCATAGAATGTAATAACTTGAATTCCAAATGGATTTTTTTCTTTCAAAATATCTTTATTTTTAGATGTCTTTTTGTATTATGTTTCTTCTCCCAAAATGTTGAATCCTCAATCCTAACTCCTAAGGCCCCCACACCCAAGCCCGACAGAGCATTTATGAGGATGTAAATCACGGTGACTCGATGGGTTCATCGAATAGGGCTAAATGCAGGTGCGCACAAGGAATCTACCCACTTTGGACATAATTCTCACACTGCCGCCGCCGAGGTTCAAACCTTGGTCTCTTCGCCAATGATGTTTCTTACTTTTATAAATAGAGATCTCTATGCATCATTATAGCGAAATCTAAGTGTTAAAAAAATTTCTCTCCTATGTTCTTATCTATTTATTTTTGTCTCTCTTTCTAGTTTACCCTATTATATTTAGATTGCAGTTTTACTCTATTATATTTAGATTACAATTCAAAACAAAAACGATGAAAAGTCAAAATTAAACTATTAGACATGACACTTATTTTTAATGGAGTAGCCCTGATACCGTAATTGTTGATATAAAAGTTACCTTAATTAAAATGCATGGAAATGTTCAAATCTTGTTGATGAGAAGAGTTCATCAACTATCTAAGATAGTGATTGCATTCTACCAATGTACCATTTCGGACCATTTGGTTGTCTTTTTTTTTTTTTTTTTTTTTTTTTTTTTTTTTGAAAGATTTGGTTATCTATTTAGTCAGTGCAAAAGGTATGTCTAAATTATTATTGTATTTTACTTCTCATATTTTATACTCCGTATTTTTTTTGAAGCATATTTTATATTTCAGTCTTCAACAGAATTTAATTTTAATAAAATTTTTAGTATATTTATTTTAAATTGTTTCAATATAATACTCTCCGTATTTTCATATAATTTTAATAATTTGTCAAGCACATTGTGCTCATATGGTACCTTTGTGGCTCTCCTTGAGGGAAGATCACAGAATCGAACTCCGCTGGTGGGATATTGACTTTTTGAAATACAGTACTTAGAGAAAGTATAGAACAATACTACATTGTAATAGAGTCAATAATATTAAAAAAGTACAATCTAATATCACTTTTTTTTGGCATCATACTTAAAGTAACAAAAAAAAACCTAAAGTATTTTGTAATTTTTTAAAAAGTAAAACTAGATATATAACTATATCTAACTAACTAAAAAATTTCTTTATTCAGACAACGAGGATATATAAATACAATAACTGTTGGGAATAACATTAAGAGGTGAATGGGCGGTCAGAATTATTTTTGTGGACAAGAATTAATCTAGTGCGTTAGTGGGCACATCTGAACGCAACTTGCGTTCCCTCTCCCCCCTTTTTTCTCTTTTTTTTTTTTTGTGGCTGGTACAGGGGAGACAGGTATTCTCACTACTATAAATACCTGTCTTCCCAGACCTGTTTCTTTACACCTGAAAAAAAGCTCTCAAGCTCTATAAATACCCTGAGTATGTATCTCTATAAGTGCAACTGAGTTACGTGAGTACTTCTGTGAGAGCCAGTCGAAAGCTCCCGGGTTAAGACCGCACAGTCTCCGGATATAAGCTTTTAAGGCAGTGTCCTGCACACGTCACAGAAACTATCCTAAACATATCCCAGCCTATATCAATCGTAGTCCATATAAACCTACGATATTTTTATAAAAACCACAACAATAACAACTTTTAAATACTTTTTGTTGTTATATTGAATGTCATTTTCCCAATTTAATGGTTTAATATTATTTTAATAATAATTTTTTTGAAACACTTATTTTACTCTTATCCCTCTATACTATTTTTACATTACACCGTTACAATATTTTTTTAAAAGTCTATTATGTGATATAATTTTTCCTCTCAAAAGGTTGAATCCCCAATCTCATCTCAAGGGCCTCCCACATCCCCATTTTACAAAGTATTTGGAAAGATGTAAATCACGGTGACTTAATGACTCAGTAAGTTAGCACGCAATGTCAAATGTCGGTGCGCACAAGTAATCTGTCCACTTTAGGCTTAATTCCCGCATTGTCACCACCATCGTCGAAGTTCAAACTTTAGCTTCTTCTCTTAAATACTGCGTATTGAACCATTAAACTAAGCTCGTGCAGCCTGTGATATAAATTTCTATTAACGAGGGATCAAGTCCCTCCCCGCCTCACAAAATTCTATTGTACGTCTGTCCAAAATTACGTTATTGCATGAAATCAGAAAAATATATTTTTCCAAGACTACTGACTCTATTACAATAATAATAATAATAATAATAATAATAATAATAATAATAATATCCGTTAGAAATTTCTCAAGAAAAAGAATAATAATATCCGTTCGAAAATTTACAATCATCAACTGTCACTAATAATGGGGTTGCTCTCTTCCTGCTCCTCCTTGGCCTTGCTGCCACTCAATCCCTCCCCTCATGCCTTTCCCAAATCCTCAAGTTCTTATCTCCAAACCCCTTTGCATATAAAATCGGAAATTCCTCTTAGCTTCCCAACACTAAAGACCAGAGCCACTGCTGATGGAAGGGACCAAATTTCCAACACCCCACTTCTTGTTCAAGAAGAATCAAAGAAGAAACAGCCCAACCAGGTGTCGTTTCTCTCAACAAGTTAAATGAATTCTTGAATTTTTCTTGCTTTTGCCTATTGAATTGCTCTTTCCCACTGAAAAATTGTGTGTTTTTAGTTTCTTGGATGACTTGAATTTTAGAGTGCTAAACTTTGGTATTAATTGGGTGCATTTTGTTGTACCTGTCTTGAAATGTGTGGGCTATTGTTTTGCCTCTTGAATAGCTTATTTTGCTAAAGATTGTGTGATTTTATGGAGTGCTTTTGAATTTGAGAATCCTAGACTTTTTACAGTCATTGGGTAACTTTATGATTTACCTTTCTTTGAATAGATTAATTCGCTAAATATTGTATGCTTTTGTTGATGATTTTGGGGGTGTTTGGTAAATAGCTGTTAGCTGATTGAGTTAGTGGGTTTTACTAGTTGATAGCATTAGCTGATTGTAGAAAGATGTTTGGTAAATTAGTTGATAGCTGATTACATGCAAAATGACTTTCTCAAAAAGCTTATGAAATTTTGAATTTTAGCGTTTTGGAGCAATAAACTGTTACAAAAAAACTAATTAATGGTTTTTTAACCAAGTCAAATAGCTAATAGTGGTTAAATAAGTCAAAATTGACTGATAAGCTAATTATGTTACCAAACAGGGTTTGAATTTAAATTTCTAACTGGTGAACTTTGTTAATTGTTGTTTGGGTAACTTTTGTTTCTTGGGTTATTTGTGGAAGGATGATGTTGATTGATGACTATGTGTTTAGGAAGTTGAGGAGAGTGTGAGAGTTCTTAAAAATGCAGCCAGAACAAGAAAGGTTCCATCTGAAGAGATCCTGGCTGCATTTTCTGTGATTGAGAAGGCCAAGATTGATTCTTCGGGGTTTCTTGAAACTCTTGGTGGAACTGAATCACCGGGGCGAACCTGGATGCTCATTTTTACTGCAGAGGTTAAAGAAATTAGAAATTTCCTTTTGTTGTTCTGCTTTCGATCTTATTTTATTTCTTTTATATTTCTCTCTTTTCTAATTCTGATACCCAATGGTGGTGTTGTGTTTTAGAAAGGATTAGAACGAGGAAAATATTTCCCGATTACTGCTGTTCAGAGATTTGATGCAGCCGTAAGCTCTCTAACTCATACCGTTCTTTACTTTTGTGTAAATAATGCATATATAGAGAGAAGGTACACTTAGACATATGCATTCTACATTTTGAGGGTTACCAAACTTCATTGTAGCTTCCTTGTGCGCAGTAAGCAAAGGTCTGGTCTTTGTGTTCATCTGAGTTACCATGATTTACATCTTTCCAGATGCTCTGTCAGGCCGGGGCGTGGGGCCCCTTGGGGTTGGGGATTCAACCTTTTGGGAGCAACAAAGAAAAAGATAAAGAATGTGCACAATAAAAGTGTCAGATCAGATGGCAATTTTAGAAACAAGTGGTAGCAAATTCATATCCATAAGTGCATTATTTATGAACATAGTACTTTGCTAGATATTTGCCCCGATAAAGCTTTAGATGATTAGCTTTAGCTCTAGTGCATTTAAGTGGCGATTATATTTTAAAGAACTAACATAATTGAATCAAATATATATATATATAATTCTTAGGCAAAGAGGATTGAGAATGGAGTTTACCTGGGGCCTTTTGGAAACTTGACATTTGAAGGGAGGTTTTCGTGGAACAATAGAATCCTTGCGTTCATATTTGAGAGGCTACGGATAAAAGTTGGACCATTGAACCCGTTCGAGATCAGTTTGAAAGGAAAAGATGACAGGGAGCCAACCAATAAGGGAAAGGATCCATTCTTTGTCTGGTTTTACATTGATGAAGAAATAGCTATTGCTCGAGGCAGAAGTGGAGGAACAGCTTTCTGGGTGCGCTGTCAACGTGTTAACCCTTACTAAAAGCTTTGATATCATGCTTAGTTGCTCTTAAGACATGTAAATATATAGTCAGTACAAAATCAACTAAGAAAGTGTAAATCACATACATCTTTGCACGGTTTCTTTTGATAATTAGTTTACATGGTGACTATTTCATTTTCTTCAGCTGGACATGTAAATATGCTGCTTTCTTGCCATCTACATCAACATGTATCTTCTTGTGTGGATGTGCATGAAATCTTTTTATAGTTATGCTTGCATTCAATATATTTAAATTGAACTTTCATGCAAGAAAGCAAAAACAAAGCTAGTTTTCTTGTTTAGTTGTAGAATCCATATGAGGTTCTCCAGTTGTGTAGAATTACATTATGTTATACTTAGTCCTAGGTTCCTCTACAAGAATAAAGACATGGGGTGCAAGCACAGAGCACACACCTGCTGTTAAGACATATATGAATTAGTCTTTCATTATTTCTTTAGGGTGTGTTTGGAAATTAAGAATGATTTCTGGAAAATTGATCATTTTTCATAAAACATTTTCATTTACAGTGTTTTGTTGCATTCTTGAAAACTGTCTTGGTGTGTTTAGTTCATTTTTGAAAAAATGAACAGAATTGTATAATTAAACATTTTAATTGTTTTGTTTAGAATGTTTTAAAAAAAATTGTTTTGTTTAGAATATAACAACATTTATAATAATAATAATAATAATAATAATAATAATAATAATAATAATATAAATGGTGGTAGTGGACTAGCGGTGGTGGTGTGGTAGCTGTGGTGGTGGTGGTGGTGGAGTGTTGGTGGTGTTAGTGGTGGTGGTGATGATGAAGATGGTGGTAGTAGTGTGGTTATGGTAGTGGTGGCGAAGGTGATGGTATACTGGTGGTGGTGGTGGTAGTGTGGCAGTGATGATAGTGATAGTGGTGGTGGTGTAGTGGTGGCGGTGGTTACAATGGTGGTGGTGATGGTGATGGTGTGTCGGTGGTAATGGTGTGGAAATTGTTCCTAAAAAGTGATGTGAAGTCATTTTCTAAGAAAATTAGGGTACTCACGGATAGTAGTGGTGGTGTGGTCAATTTTCTCCAAAATGCTTCCTTTTCTCTTTATTGTGCAATTTGATGAAACTATAAGCAAATACACATTAATTAGTTTAATTTCTCAATTTAGCACACCATAATATGTACAAAATGGACAAAAGTATGGGATAAAATATAGTAAAAAAAAATAAGTGTTATCAAGTATTACTAATAATAATAATAATAATAATAATATATTATTATTATTATAAAGATATTTATGTCTTTTAAAAAAATAGTCTATTTTTATTCCTTAAACCAATCAAATTAGAATAACATTTTTAAAGTCTATTCCTCATGCGAACCAAATAATATAATATAATTCTTATTCTATTCTTTGTCTATTCTATTCTTTATGGAATAACATTTCTATTCCCTAAAAATTCATTAACCAAACATGTTGTTAATGTTTTGATTTTTTCTTTTCTTTTTAACCATGATGGGCTTGTATCCCCTCACACCTAATTTTTATTTTTTATTTTATACTTATATTAATAAATAAAAAATATTTTAATATAATATTATTATTATTTATGCAAATAAATAAATAAAAATATTTATTTTATTAAATGAATTACTTTTATGTATTGAAAAAAAAAAGTTTTAAAAAATTATTTAATATATAATAAGTGCTAATTCTTAGTACTTTTATGTGCACAATTGATATCAAACTCATGATTTTATGTTAATTGAAAATTAAGTATGTGCTTAGTTGATACCTTTGTGTCATTTAGGTGATTTGGGAGCATTGATTGCAATATCATGTAAATTGGAGTTCAATTGGATGTGTTTTGAAGTCATCTTGACACAAAAGCATGTTCCGAGAGTCATGAGATCAGGTCAAGAAAGTGAAAGAGAACAAGTTGAAAGTATAATGACATTATCCGGGGACTCAAAGGAACCAAGGAGATGAAGAAATATGCATTTTGGAGTGAAAATCATGGCCCACGCTGGTGGTCACGCCGTGACTACTAGAGTGACTTCATTCAGCTTTGCATTTTTCTCTAGTAGGCAACGTCTCGGTATTTTGAGCATATCTCGAGCTAGGGGTGTCCAAATGAGGTGATTCAAGTGGCATTGGAACGGAAACTCAAAGGGCTACAACTTTCATTTGATCACAAAGGCTAGTTTTAACGTCTACACGGTGAAAATTACCTATACAACCAGAACTGTTGCGCAAAGTGGGTGGTCACCGTTGAGGTCACGGCGTGAACTCGACCGTGACCTCTGGAACTTGCGAACTGTGCTGAAAAGTCATTGTGGAACTCACACCGTGAGCCCCATCGTGACCACATGCCTAGATTCCTTTTTAAATTGTATTTTTAGCGTGATTTGAGGGGTATAAATAACCCTAGGTGGTTATTTTTAGGAAACTTTACATTCTCCACTCTCTCTCCAAGGTTTTTTTTTTTTCTTTTTTTTTTTTTTTTTGGAGAGAAAACCTCTCCAAACATTTCATTTATGTAATCAATCCATCTTTGAAGAAGATTTGAAGAACAATTTCATATTTCATATTGCAATTTCAAGATTTCATTTCCCTAGTTCTTAATCAAAGCTAAGTCTTTCTTGTTGTTTTCTTTGCATTTTATTATTCAGGCGAGGGTTTGTATTGTATTTGAGATTGTTAGTGGATAGAATATCAGGTCAAGATTGATAAAAATTATATGTAATAATCTCAAGTGCTTGAAGCTTGGTGTGAAGGAGTTGGTGAAAAGCATTCGTCGAGGTCACAAAGGGTCAATCTTTGAATGTTTTCCTTTGATTTTCTTGTCATAATTTCTCATTCAACTTGAGCTCATATTAAATGTGTTATGTGTGATTGTTACTTTCTATCCTTATTTTCTCGGATGAAGTTGAAGGCTTTTCTCTTTTTACAACTTTGAATTCAAATGTATATAATCTCGCTGCCTGCATGCCACCTGATTGTTTGGAGTATTATTTATTGGTCTCTACTGTCTATTGACATCCTGGATTGTTTTACTAATATCCTTTTTAGCTTGTATATAATGAGCCTAATTTGGAAAAAATTTGTGGCTAAAATTAGTGTGAATCTAATCATGTTGGAAAGACATGAGTCGAAATAATTGAAGGATGAGGGTGGAATATTGTTGCTTTAGTTGCCAAAATCAATATGGTTTTGATGTCTTACTGAATATCCTAGAGATTGCAATTGATATATGAACTGTGCCTTTCTTGCACTCTGCCCAAATATTGCTTAGTAGTAGCAATTGTTTCAATTTCTTGATAGATGCTCTCAACATATGCTTTATAATTGACAAAAAGGTATCAAATTTATATTCATTATGAGTATTTGATTAGCTCATTTGGGAGGAGGCTAATGTAGATTGCACTACATCGTGCCCCTGCAAGCTGCTTTTTTATTTTATTTTTAAATTTTTTGCCTGTAATATATGCATGTAGAACGTTATATCATCCTCTGGTTGCAGATTCTATGTGATTGCTAGGAACATATCTCCAATAGAGGTCATTACTCATGTGGCGATCCTGTGTGAAGAATTTGATATACCCATATGTCTACGTTGCATCTAAGGAACAAAGATGCCACCAACTCCCACCACATTTTACTTTTTGACAAATCTATACCCAACTTAGCCTTTTTCCTTGTAATTAAATCCTCAAATTTCAAATACAAACCCAGTCTAAGCAAAGACCGGAGCTTTGATATAGTAAGGTCTATCAAAGCCCGGAAATGAATTCTTAAGCCCGGAAATGAAATTCTTAAGCCATACACGTTGAGATATAGCCTCAAAGCATGAAACAAACTCGACTTCTATGGTTGAAGTGGTGACAAGAGTTTGTTTAACACTTCTCCATGAAACAGCTCCACCGACCATTGTAAAAATGTATCCTGAAGTTGATTTCCGAGAATCAACACAACCGGCAAAGTCTGCATCAAAATATCCAACAACGTCCAAAAGTCTGTCTGCTTGAACACAAGCTTATAATGGTACCTTTGAGATACCTTAAAACCTTCTTTACAGCTCTCCAGTGGTCTAAACCCAGATCATTTTGATATCATCCTAGCATTCCAACAAAGGCGATGTCCGGCCTAGTACATACTTAAACATACCTGAGGCATCCTACAACTGAAGCATAAGGAGTATTCTTCATGGATTCTCTTTCAAAATTATTCTTTGGACATTAGTCCAAACTGAATTTATCCCCTCTCACTATAGGAGCTGGACTCATTGAACAATCCTTCATCCGAAATCTTTCTAAGACTGTTGATATAGGTTTCCTGCGATAGTCCTAGAATACCTCGGGATCTATCCCTATAGATCTTTATGCCAATGACATAAGATGTCTCGGCCATATCTTTCATATCAAAGTTCTTAGAAAGGAATTACTTAACCTCGTGCAACATTCACTTATCATATGTTGCAAGTAGAATATCCTCCACATATAAAACAAGAAAACAAATTTTACTCCCACTTGTCTTTTGGTATATGCAATGATCTAAGGGACTTTCAACAAATCCATATGAAGAAATGACACCGTCAAACTTGATATACCATTGGCGGGAAGCTTGTTTTAAACCATAGATGGACTTTTTGAGCTTGCAAACCAAATACTTACCTTCACTAGAAGAGAACCCTTTAGGTTGTTTCATATAAACTACATCATCTAGATCACCGTTAAGGAATGCCATTTTCACATCCATCTGTTGCAATTCAAGATTGAAATGTGCAACTAAAGCCAAAATTATACGAAGTGAATCTTTCTTTGATACAGGAGAACATGTCTCCGTGTAGTTGATTCCTTCCTTTTGAGTAAACCCTTTAGCAACGAGCCTTGCTTTGTATCGCTCGAAGTTGCCTAATGAGTTCTTTTTAGTCTTATAGACCCATTTACAGCTAATGGCCTTGACCCCATTAGGAAACTCAACAAGGTCCCAAACCCCATTGCTCCGCATGGAACACATTTCTTCCTTCATGGCTTCATACCATAAATCTGACTCATTACAGTTTATGGCTTGTGAAAACGTTTCTGGATCATTTTTAGCTCCAACATCATACTCTTGTAGATACACTATATAATCACTAGGAATTGCCGGTCTTTTTTCTC